GACGTATGTTCCTGTCACTTCGGGTAATGCTTGTCGCCTGGAGACAGCGTGTCTGGGCTGGAGTCCTCATCTCACAGCCTGTGGGCCATGGTGATGGCTCACCTGCCCTGCAGAGCTGGGGCTCAGGTGTTTGTCATGGGCATGCGCCCTGGTGCTCTTGAAGGGGAGTGGCTGCCCAGTGTCCAGGTCGAGGGACACTCAAGGCTCTGGTGCAGGCAGCTCCTGTGGTTCTTCATGGAATGGTGGGGCTTGCTAGCATGTTCTGGTCCTGTTCGCAGAAATGGACACCATCACCATCAGGTGGCCTGGTGTCTGCTCAGCCCCGACCATGTGCCAGGCACCTGTGAGAACTCACCAGACAGTGCGTGGAATCCGCTCAGAACTGTGTTCATTCTCCTCAACCCCATTTAGAGAGGTTGGGTCACAATTACAAGCTGCAGGGTTGGATTTGCCCTAGGCTGCTGGCTCCCCGAGCCTGTGTCCGGAGCTGCTGACCTTGTTCATGCCTCCTGTGTGCATCCTGTTAGAGAATTCGGCTTGTTTGGTTCCACAGCTGGGACCCAAAAGCTATGGGTTAGGTTGCTAAGGCCAGGTGCTGTTGGCTTATCTGCAGGGTGTTGATGAAAGGGACGTGGTTCGAGCCCTAGGGTCGTGCTCTGAATATGCGGGTTTGTGGGAGGGGGAAGCATGAACCAGAACCAGCCCTTCTCATGGGAAGCAAAGCTCATGCCCACAGGCTCTATGAGCACTGGGCATTACCCAGAGGTCAGCTGTCGAGCTGCAGAAGGCTAGCGAAACTGCTGTTCCCAGGCTACTGACTGAACAAGAAGGGAAATTGAGGGTCAGAGAGGGGCAAGACTTGGCTCAAGGTCGTTGGGGAATGGAGCCACAGCTGAGGCTGGCCCCTTGCTCAGACAGTGGGAGCCTGGTCAGGAGCCCACAGGGGCTCACCAGTGTATGCTGAGGGCGGAGCCATGGAGCCACAGCCCAGGTGGGTCTATGAGCCCCCCTTTTAGGCCCAGCACCCATGCCTCCTCGCTTCTCCGTCCCGAGTGGCTCTCTGTGCCTGTGTCTGACGCTTCTGTCTTGGGCTTGGTCTCTTGTTTCTCTCCACATCTCTATTTACCCACCTGTTGCTTCCCCCCCTCCACTCCGAGGTTGCCACCAACCTGAGACAACCTCTAGGCCTTCCCGCCTTGCTGAGTGATGTCCATAGTGTGTCCTGAGTACATTCCAGCCAGCTGACCAATCAGACCTCAAGCCACGCCCCTACCCAAGCCACCACACCTGACTATTCATGGTCACATCTGGCCATACCTGGCCATGCTGCCCACCTCTGGCCACACCGACCGGCACAGTTGCTCCTGGGCCATGGAGCAGGGTCGGAGCTGGCACCCCGCACTTTCCCTGGGAAGCACCACCTGTTCCCTGCCACCCCACCTGTGGGCCTGGCTCCTCTTGGAGCTGGAGGAGTGGTCTTCCCAGAGCCACTCAGATGTCCCAAGCCCCTCCTGTCTGGGACACACAGGGAGGTGACTCTGCAAGCTTTTGCTGGTGGCTTTGGGGAGGTCTAAGTGCCTTTCCCAGCCTCAGTCTCCTCCTATTCCTTCCTGGTCTGGCTCCCTTCCTCGCCCTCCCCCAACTTCCTTTGTTTTTCCTACCTCCTAACTAACCCCCTCTCTCCCTCCCTCCCTCCCTCCCTTCTGCTTTCCTATTTATTGAGTGCTGAGTTCTCCTTCCTCTGCCTGGCCCTCAGTTTTCCCCTCTGAAAAATTGTCACTGGAGGTTTAGTGGGGATGAAAACATGGCAGCATTGTGACACACGAGCTTGAGCATCGGGCAAAAGCCTATATTCAAACTTCAACCACTCCACTTTTCAAGCCTGTGACCTCAGGTGAACTAGATGTCTACTCTGCGCCTCAGTCTCCTGCCCCAGAAAATGGGCCCATTATGGTTCCTGCTCCCCAGGCTGTGGAGAGCATTTCCCTGCTTCCTGATGGGCACATGGCAGCCCTGGTCACTGTCATCACTGTACGGCCCAGTCCTTGTACAGGTCTGACCTGAACCCCAGCTGGGAAGGGGCTGGGGCCCAGGTGGGTGGTGACACACAGCGCATGTCGTCAGGCCAACCTGGACCTAGGACTCTCGGCCCTGCAGAGCCGGAAAGTGCAGAGTTGCTGAAGCGGGTGGACTCATGGCTTGGGTATCTGGGAACTGCTGTGTCAGCTGTGGGCACCCCATGGCCTGACTCAGCACTTTCTTTTTCCCTCATTGAGTTTATTGGTCCATTTTAGGTACACAGTACAGTTACATTTATCGTTGGGATCTTGTACCTTTACGTGACAGGTCTTGGTTCTCATTTTTTCCCCATTCCCCTGCCTGCCCTTTCCTACTTACAAAGACTTTGTTTCCACTTTTCTCTTTCTCATATTTTTTCCTTTCCCTCCCCTTCCCCCTTCCCTTACTCCTTTAGCCTTTCCTTCCCTTTCACAGTGTCAGTCACAGTGCTTTGTCTAAGGTGACTGTGTCACGCTCCTGGAGGCACAGGGCACACAGCTCTCTCTTCCACCCCTCCCTCACTCTGTCTTTTTTGGTGAAGAAGCTCAACCTACTCTCGGCAGACAATATCAGGGCAGAACCGCATTCCCTCAACAGATTCATTCAACAGCTTCGAGTGGCTGGGTATCATTCCAGGGGCTGGCGTCCTCCATGCAACCTGTGAGGAGGGGTTGCTGCTGGAGGATGAATCTAGCCCACTGCCTGTTTTGTAAATAAAGTTTTATCGGAACACAGCCATGCACCTTCATTTACATACCAGACTGTGCTGTTCTGGTAACATGGTGGGGGTGAGCGTGGGGACGGAGACTCTCATGGCCTGTAAAGCCCGAAATATTTACTGCCTGATCCTTTATAGAAAAAGTACTGAGCTTTGGTGTAGATTAATAAAGAGTCCCATCTTATTTGTTCTTAATTCTTGATGTTTGTAATGTGATAGTATCAAGAAGTATTACTTTATGGATTTTATTTACTTTTATCAGCAAATTCTATCAGAATATGAATTTACAAATGTCAATACTAAATAAAATCAACACCATTACCAAAAAGCCTGTGATTTCACCACTGTTAAGCACTTGCCAGGGAGTCCTCCAGATGTTTTTCTTTGCTTATACTCACATGTACTTGTTTGTTTGTCACAGGACTAGTTTTACAATACACATCACTTTGATACTTTTGCATTTTCTTTGGTCATTTCCCGGTGTGTGGTGCACATCTTTCTGGGGCAGTAAATATTCTCAATGAATGTCATTTTCCTTGATGCATCTACTCCACTGGGCTATTTAGGTCATTTCAGATATTTTGCAATGAAAAGCAATGCTGCCAGGAGCATCAGTGCTATGGATCTTGGGAAATGTATCTGATGATTTCCTCAAGATAAGTTTCTGGAACTGAATGTGCCACGTCAACTAAGCTTGTGCATTTTAAATTGAGGACATGTGCTCTGACTTGTTCTAACACAGTCCTTCAAGGTTCCAGTAAGCCTCATCCCCCAGCATAGCCAACGTGGAGCTGTCTGTCCCCTCAGTGGCTGGGCTGAGGCCATCATCACTCTGGGCTGCAAGACACAGGCCAGGAATTTCTACCCACCAGTTGCCTGGGGGCTCACTCAACTAGTCCGAGCAAGTGGGGTTGAAACCTGCCAAGTTCTTGAGGTTTTGAAAAGCGTTTTTCTGCACATTCCCTCACCAGAATCTTGGGAAACATGACAAGAAGGTGGGGAGGTACAATGCCAGGGGCTGAGAGGAGCACCGGAGAAAGAGCCCAGAGTCTGGGTCTCACTGCTCCCATCCCTGCCTCTCATGCAGCCCAAGAGCTGAGAGCCACCTGGTGTCCCAGTGTTGGGCCTCAGTTTACCCTGAGGGACCTCCCAGATTTAAATTCTAGGTTGCCATTGTCTTGGGGTAGAGGAGGACGGGCTGTGTGGACACCACTCCTCTGTTCTCCTTCTAATTCTCCCTGTGCATTTTTGGGCCACCGGGTAGCTCTCTACCTGCCTGCTGTTAATAAGTTTTTAGGTTGGATCCTGTGAGGCAAAACCAAAGTGGAGGAACTTTCAGTTAAAACAAACTTTAAAAATCAGATTTTCAGAAAGTTTTTAGGAGTTTCAGGCTCATCTTGATGGTTGATCTTGAAGCCACATGGCCTCAGAGCTCAGTTTAAGGGTGTCTGACTTGAAGTCCTGCCAGGGCCTGTAGGATCAGACTTGCCATGCACAGATTACCAGAATACCCACCGGAGAAGGTGCTCGGCATAGTGGTGATGCCTGTAATGCCAGCTCTCAGGAAGCTGAGGCAGGAGGATCGCTGTGAGTTTGAGGTCATCCTGGGCTACATAGTGAGTTCAAGGCCAGCCTGAACTACATAGCAAGACCGTGTCTCAAAAAACAAAACAAAATGAAACAACAATGACAAAATAGCTCATGTACTTACCTTATTTATGAGGTGAATCCCCTTAGGTAACCCTGGCTCTACTTGCAGTTTTGAGCCTGGGTTTGAAATCTCCCTCGCTATTCATTGGCTGTTTGATTTGAGACTCTACATCCCTTTGCCTCTCTAAGCCTCCCTGTTCTGAGAGCCACCTCATAGCACTGTGATAGGACCACCGTCCAGCAAGGTGACCTCATGTCAATGGCATTGCCTGGCTCCTGGCCCCAGCCCAGGACTGTGTGGGACATGTGCCGGGCGACTGTGATGTGGAGGCATGGGTGGGGGTCCCCTCAGCAGTGTGGTGAGTCTTAGGGGCACTGAGGTGGAGAGGAGGGCCAAGCTGCTCTGGCGGGGAGAGAGTTGGGGACACCCACAGGACAGCATGGATCTGGGAACCCATCATCCCAGCTTGCCCATCGGAGCGTGCAAAGTCCTGCTTTCTGTGATGTCCTGAGTAAATCTCTGAGGGCACCGGCTGTTTCCCTGATTGACTCTCTTACCTGCTTGTCTCTGCAGGACCAGCTAAAGCAGTGCTTCTCCAGGAGACCTGCTGAGGCCAAGGACACTGATACCCTCGTGCATGAAGCCGATGGCCAATATGGAACGTGGGCAGAGCAGTGCCAGAGTGAGGACAGGTAAGGTGTCCCTGCTGCCATGAGGACATCCAGGCCAGAATTGATCTGTGTCATAAGAGGAAACTATTTGTGTTGTAAAAAGGAAATAAATATATAAAAACTGCCCCTAACCCCACAGCACCGATGTATTTTCAGTAGTGTTTTCTGTCGTCTTCCTAGACTTCTTTCTGGGTGTGTGTGTTTACAAACATAGGGACAGAAGTGCACATGAAGGCTTCACGGGCTATGTCTGCATTTAAGGTCTCCGCTGCTCCTGGCTGGTGGGGTCCCAGTGGTCAGCCTGACTAGAAGGCACATTCTGGCTGAAGGTTGTGGAGCGTAACCCAGATTCAGACAGGCTGGTGTGCCCCATTCTAACTGGGTGTGGGACCCTGAGTGGATTAGTTATAGTTTCCAAGTAGTTTCCTTCCCCACAGAAAGGGAGCAATGCTTATAAATCACCCAAGGCTTACTGGGCACACATGCTAGGCACTGTTGGAAGCACTTAATAGGCGTTCACTGAGCAGTGATGTTCGATCCTCTTACCCATTTTACAGCAGATAAAACCAAGGCACCCAGAACGTGGGTTGGTAGAAGAGGGACTCTTGTAGCAGTGAGGACCTGGCACATCCTGGGAGCTTTTGTGTACTGTACCTATTCTTGTTGCAAACATATGAGTTGGATAAGCACGGTAGCTGCATCCTGGCCTCCTGAGCAGCTCTGCTATTTTTACAGTCCCTGCCTTTGCCAGACAGTGGCTCCAGACTCCAGGAAAAGTCTTGGAAGTCAGAGAAACCATGGTTCAGTGCCCCACAGGGCCACTTACCAGTCTTTTTACTCTGTGGCTCAGTTTCCCCATGACACCCCACCTGGAGAAATGGGCTCGAGAGAGGAGGGATCTGTCCATTTCTGTATGAGGCTGACAGGACTTCAACCCAAGTCCCACCGCCCTCCCTCAGTGTCAGGAGCAGCCACAAGCTTTGGCAGCATTGATGGAACTGGGAATGGATAAGAAACATAAAGGGGAGCCTGCAAAGCCTTTTCCCCTTCCTAACCTGTGAAATCTGTTTAGTTAATAAACTTAAATTTCACTGCAGCGGCCCTGCGAGAGCTCTGGACTGAATGTGGAGACTGAGCCCTGGTTTTGCCCATCTCCTAAGGAGCTCTGGGAGCCACCTTCCACCTCCAGACCCAATTTCAGCCTTTAGATCAGGATGAGTGAGACCTCGTCCCACTTGGGTGTGCCTGGTGGCGGGTGCTCTCTGCTGTCTCCTGGCGGTACTGTGCTTCCCAACCCTCCTGCACCCAAATCTTGGGTAGTGCTGCTCTCTGCTGTCTGTTGATGGTATTTCCACCCTATGTCCTCTGCAACCTCCCTTTGCCAAGTACAGAAATCAGCTCAGAGCTGGCAGAAGACTTGCAGAATCCCAGGATCTGTACCAGTGCATCGTGGGGGGTCTCTCAGGTTGGGCTCCCCTGGTAGGTGAGCCTTTCCTCTGGGAAGGGGTTTCCTGTGCCTTGGAGGCTTGACTGAGCTCTCAACTTGTGTGTCTTTAGTGTGCATGTGTTTGTGTTGGGAAGGAAAGCGTCAGTGGCTTAATTATCAGTGTCTTTTATCCTCTGTGGTTCTGCTCATCCGAATGCACCTCAATGTATTTTCATGGCAAGAGGGTTGAGAAGTGGCAGAGCCCCAGAGTCAGACGGCCTGGCTCCATCTCAGTTCCGCCGCTTTGGGCAGTCAGTGTCACATCTCTGTGTCTCAGTTTCCACATCGTGAGCAGGGTCACTATGTAATTTCGTGAGTTACTCCTGTCTTGCAGTGTTGTAGGGGATGTAGGGTTTTAAATCATCCCACAGGATTGGGAAGGGGATTAAATGATGCAGTTTTTAGCACAACATCTGCCACATAGTAGCTGCTCAGTGAGTCCTCACTGATGAAGCAGATGGAACAGTGCAGGAGATCTCCTCACTCCCTGGTCTGCAGCAGACAGCTGCTGATAGTGATTTCTTCTGCCTCATCCCTGACCAGCAGAAATCCAACGCGAGCTGCACTCAAGAGACATATGTGCCATTTAAAATGCCCCAGTGGCCTTGTGCGGCAAGTAAAAAGAAACAAGCAAAATGAATTAATTTTAAACTTCACAAGTTTTAATTCAGATGACTTTGATGAAAAGCCACGGAGCTGAAAAACGCTCATTTCAACATGTAATTGACCTAAAAATTTATCAGCCACTTCTTTCACGCTCTCTTCTTCACCCAGAGTGTTGAAAGTCCCCCGTGTGGACTTTCCACTTGTGACCTGCCTGGGCTCTGCCGCCACCACATCTCCCTGTCTTCTCTTTCTTGCAGTCTGGCCCTCGAGTCTCCGTCTCCTGATAGCAGCACCACCCCCGTGCAGAAACAGCCCCCCAGAAGCCGCATGTCATCCCTGTCCTCCCAGACAGAGCCCACCTCAGCGGGGGACCAGCGGAGCACCAGCGTGGACCACTCCAGCTCTGAGCTGGACTCTACAGATGGGGCAGAGGCAGTGCCCCGACAGGACACCTGCCCTGCCCAGGGCACAGATGACTTCTTCTTCATCCATGTGAGTGTCACCAGGGTGGCCATGTTGGAAGCAGTTATCTGTGCCTTTTTTCTAAGGGTCCTGAAGATCTAACCCAGGGTCACTCTATCACTGAGTTGCACTCCAGCCCTTTTTTGTTTTTTGAGACAGGTCTCCATAGGTTGCCCAGGCTGGCCTCGAATTTGCAGCTGTCTTGGCTCAGAGACCTGCCAGTTGCTCCAGTTCGGGCATGTGCACCCGCTCTCAGCCAGTCATTTCTTCTTAAGAGAAGGTCTCGTGTAGCCTGGTGACTTGCCTTTAACGGGTTCACTCTTGGGCCTGTGGTACAGTGTGGAATCCTGGAGACAAGACCCACCTACACATGTAGCCTGGGCCAGCTGCCTTTCAGCTGTGTGCCTTGGGGCCCATGTTTTCACCTTTCGAGGCCTGAGCTTCCTTATTCCACAGTCTTAGGTGCAATCCTATGAGTTCCAGTTAAAGCTAACCAAAATCATTGCCTGCCAACTAGGCAGGAAGTCCAATTTCTGCCCGGGAGGTCAGCCTGAGGCATGCAGACCCTGCTATGTGGTGGCTGGGTGTGCTGGGCATTGTCACTGAGACTTTGCTCTATAGGGTGCTGGGCTCTGTTTGACACCTGCTGCAGGAAGGGAGGCCCCTCAGGTATGGGCACCCTGTGTCGGGGAACTAGGGCTCAGTTCTCCCCACCCCAGGATGCCAGCTGCCCCTATGAGACAGCCTCCTGATCTAGACGCTTCTAGATGGGGTCCCATTCTCACCACTGAACCCCCACTGCAGGGATCAGGCCTTGAAACAGGGCCGGGTGTCATTCTTCTCCTCCTGTGACAGTAGAGCTGGCTGCCTGCCTGCCCTGCTCTGGGTGTGGATCTGCAGTGTCTAGATGGCCCCTCTGCCCTGGGAGCAAGGCTGTACAGGGACTTCCTCTGGGACCTTATACAGAGCCACCTTCCTATGCATGGCCAGGATCTCTGGTGGGCACAGTGGATGAGGGGGGAGACAGAGAGAAGATCAGCCTTTATGCATTATCGCCCACTTTTCCTGGTGTTGTAAGGGTTGTCAGGTGATGCATTCCGTTATTCATTTGATATTGACTGAGATCTCCAGGTTGCCAAGCATCACTCTGACTTAGGGTCTCGTGTGTGATGTCGCTGGCATGTTTTGCTGGACAGTTGTAAGACCTAAAGTCTCACTTCCACTCCACGGAGCGTGAACAGCCGAAAGGCCTCCACGATGCTGGGCCCTAACACCCAGCGAGGCTCCGGGAACACGACAGAGAACCGAGAAACCCAGGAAGGAACACACCAGGCTAGATGGTAAAAGAGACCTTTATTAGTCTGGCCAGATGACACTCCCGGAGCCAGGTGGCTCAGAGAGGCAACTGCTCAGGGGCTGAGGTACTTTTTATAAGGTTTTTCTAAACAAAGAGTCAGGGAATTCACAGAACAAGACTGCAAACACATTGCTTATCTTATGCAGGAAATGTTCTAGGGTCACCTTTTGTCAAACCATTTGCCCCTGGGCGGGCTGTTAACCAAGGTAGCAATTAGCATATGAAGAAGCACAGTCTGGCCTATTAGCATGGAGTCACTTTAGCCTATTCAAGTCTTACACAGTCCCTCCGGAATGCTAAGCATCTTCTTTTCCATGTCCATTAGAAGCCATACAGCAGTGTCAACAGCGACCAGTGTCACACCATGTGGGGGTCCTGGTTGCTGTCATTGAGCGTCAGCACACACTAACAGCCCAAGAGCCAAAATCCCCTGCCCTTGTTATAGGTAAGAATTTGAAGTGGCCACTGACTGGTTCCAAACATAGGTTCCCTTAGCTCACCAACCTGTGCTGGGGTGTGTGTCGCACCTGTCCCGGTTGCAGCCCCCCAGGGGACTATTTGGAGCGGAGGCCACCAGGGCAGTGACCCCATGGATGTGGAGCAGTCTCCCTGGCCTGTAAGACCTAAGTCTCACTTCCACTCCACGGAGCGTGAACAGCTGAAAAGGCCTCCATGATGGTGGATCCTAAAACGCAGCGAGGCTCCGGGAGCTCGACAGAGGGACGAGAGTCACCCAGGAAGGAATACACCAGACTAGATGGTAAACAGACCTTTATTAGTCTGGCCAGACAGCACTCCTGGAGCCAGGTAGCTCAGAGAGGCAACTGCTGAGGAGCTGAGGTCCTTTTTATAGGGTTTTTCTAACAAAAAGTCAGGGCATTCACAGAACTACCAGAGGACAAGATTTCAAACACATTGCTTATCTCATGCAGGAAATGTTCTATGGTCACCTTTTGTCATACCATTTGCCCCTGGGCAGGCTGTTAACCAAGTTAGCAATTAGCATATGAAGACGCACAGTCTCTGGCCTATTAGCGTGGAGTCACTTTGGGTCTTACAGGCCAACCCCTCGTGCTCTCCGAGTCTGAGAAACCAGCCCTAACCTGGTGGTGGTGGTGGTGCACGCCTGTAATCCCAGCACTGTAGAGGCTGAGGCAGAAGGATCAAGTGCAAACCCAGCCTGGGTACTTAGCAAACAAAACCTTGTCTTAAAAAACAAAAACAAAAACAACATTTAAAAAGGTCTGGGGATGTAGCTCAGTGCAGTGAGTTCAATCCCCAGCATGGCAGAAATTAATTAATTAATAAAACAAAATGCAATGTTACAGAAGGAATTGGCAAGTGACACACAGAGAGGCAGCAGAATGGAAGTAAAATAAAAAGTTTACTCCATCGATGGGGATCGATGACACCTAATAGTGATGCCCTGATCGACCCCCCATTGGGTTACAACTCCTTCTTTTATAGGGTTTTACAGCCTTGATCTCATTCAGTTGGTTACATTGCGTTTTCACAGCTCACATCGCTGATGCCCAAAACGTAATAGCAAGACAGTTGATTTTCAACCTGATGCAGTTCTTTGTCAGGGAAGTTACCTTTAAGATTTAGTCAGTTACCTACTCTATCCAGGGGGAAGGGAACTTGTTTGATTAACAAAGCTAGCAATGGTTCTTTTCACTTACAAAACTTTTCTGAGAGACTAGGTGTCTCCCATACTGGTTAACTCTGAACTAAGCAGAGTGTGGGGCAGAAGTTATCTTACGTTGTGACATTTCCTAAAATTTTCGCTATTAAAGTTTTCCCTATCAGTAAAACACTGGCCCCTGTGCCAAATAACTAACTTCTCACCAATCAAGGAAGCTACGCACACCCCCAGATGCAGTGGCCTCTATTGATGGTTCTCTTGCTTTTTCTTTATTCCCCGCCCCGCCTCTTCCGGCCAATGAAGCAAACCTCAGTCTTGGACTCCAGTGCTCTCAAGACCCGGGTAGAGCTCAGCAAGAAAGGCCGCCGCCGGGCTCCTATCTCCCACTCCCTCCGACGCAGCCGATTCAGCGAGTCTGAGAGCCAGTCCACTTTGGAGGAGGAGACCAATAGCACCTGGATGTTCAAGGACTCAACAGGTTCGTGAACCTGTGCCTTCTGTCCTTCCCAGGTACCCCCAGAGCAGCAAGGGTTGGGGGAGATCTGGGAAGGGCTTTGCAACTTTGCAGGCTCTCAAGCCTCAGGACACAATTACGTAAGAAACTGATCTCTCGTTTTTTAGAGCTTATCAGAAACTATGTGAAAACATGTTTTGAGAGCTAATAATTTAGAGCCTATGAGTTACAAGGGGCAAAGACACAATAAGGTTCCACTGTTTCTGCTTTTATCCTTATTAAATTCACCCTTACACATTCTTTAGGTTTGTTTGCTGGCACGTTTTTTCCTAGACTCTTGGACTGAAAATCAGTTCGTTGATTATCTGTCTTTTTAGTTTTCTAATAAATTGCTAAAGGCTGCACATGTTCCTCTAAGGACTGCTTTGGCTGCATTCTGTGTCAAAATCTGAGCTGCGCCTTACAGCAGATGAGAATTTATCTAGGTAAGAGCGCTCCAAGCAGAGGCATCTCCAGGATCAAAGGGACAGAGCTGTGGAAAGAGCATCTCCCAGCAATGTCCCGCCCCTCAAACTGGGAATGGAGACATGGACTGTAAAGACAGGAAGGAACCCACTCCCCACCCTTGGTCCTTGGTTAAGGAGGTAGATTTCATCTCTAGGGGGAGCAAAATTTAAGAGGAAGCAAACTTGCTTCTTGCAGTGCAGACTCTGGCAGCTGACCTCCCTACCCTACAGAGGCAGCGTTTGTTTGTGTGGGTGTGTGGGTGGGTGAGGGAAGTGAGGATTGAACCTGGCACCTTTGGACTGAGCCAGGTCTGCAGCCCTTTTTATTGTTACTTTTTTAAAATCATGAGATAGTCTTGCTGAATTGCCAAGACTGGGCTCAGACTTGGGCCCCTCCTACCTCCGCCTCTCAGAGGGCGGGGATTCCAGTGAAAGTGGGTTCGCGTGCCCTTTTGGGTGCCCCTTCCCAATTAGGCCACTCACGCACCGAGAGGTCCGGCAGGAGGAGAGAGAGAGAGAGAGAGAGAGAGAGAGAGAGAGATATGTAAGACCTGAAGTCTCACTTCCACTTCACGGAGCATGAACAGCCGAAAGGCCTCCACGATGCTGGGCCCTAACACCCAGCGAGGCTCCGGGAACACGACGGAGAACCGAGAAACCCAGGAAGGAACACACCAGCCTAGATGGTAAAAGAGACCTTTATTAGTCTGGCCAGATGACACTCCCGGAGCCAGGTGGCTCAGAGAGGCAACTGCTCAGGGGCTGAGGTACTTTTTATAAGGTTTTACTAAACAAAGAGTCAGGGAATTCACAGAACAAGACTGCAAACACATTGCTTATCTTATGCAGGAAATGGTGTACGGTCACTTTCTGTCAAACCATTTGCCCCTGGGTGGGCTGTTAACCGAGGTAGCAATTAGCATATGAAGAAGCACAGTCTGGCCTATTAGCATGGAGTCACTTTAGCCTATTCAAGTCTTACAAGAGCGAGAGAGAGAGAGAGAGAGAGAGAGAGAGAGAGAGAGAGAGAGAGAGAAGGGGGAGAGAGGGAGAGAGAGAAGGAAGAAGCACAAAGAGAGAAGAACAAAGACAAGAAGGTCCTTTTATCAGTTTGGGGCCAGGCTATTGCTTATTTATGAGGAGTGAGCTACTTTTAACCTATCACAGGCCAGATTGCTTTTATGGGCCCAGTGCTGCAGACACAGGTTTCAACTTTCCTGGACCACTGTGGCCTTGGGGGAAGGGTAATCAGAGATAAGGGCATGAGGTCCTTTTAGGAGCCAAGATGTATCAGGAGAACGCAGCCTGTGAGGTGGCATCACAGCGTCCTTTAACATGATCAGTTCCCTAACATACAGGAGTGCATCACCCCACCCAGCTCGGACACAGTCTTTAGTCCACCAAAAGCCATTGTAGCTATTTTTCATTGCTCTGAGGTTTGCCCTTGGCAAACAAAAGGATGTCAGACAAGGCTCTGACGTCCATAAAGTCCATTGCTTCTGATCAGATACCAAGAACAAATGCTAGGAAGATTATGTCTCCCTCTTGCATTCCGTTTCTGTTCTTAAAATGCTCAGGTGCCTGTGTGAGTGAGATGTCTCCCTGCCCGCTTTCTTGCCTTTCAGACTCACTCTACAAGTGTCACTGTATGTTTTGATATTTATTTCTATTTAAATATTTGACACACTAGAAGACCCACTGCCGTGAGTCTCTCTCAGGTTACTCCTCCTCACTTCAAACATACGTAGCCCATTGTCCGTGGAACTTCCTGAAGCACTTCTAGAAGGGAGTGCTGCTGTGAGGCATCATCCAACTTCTGTGGGCTGCCACAGACACCAGAGTGTGTCCTCATCCTCCTTGTTCACTGGCTCTCTGGCATGTGTGACGCCTGGCTCTTTTCCAAAGTCAAAATGACCGGGAAAAGTAAATGTTTGGAGTAGATTCAGAGCGTCGAGGCACCCACAGCAGTACAATTAAAGATGCAGAAGGCGGCTTCCCGAGCTGCTTCAGAAAGGCGGGAAGGAGACGGGTGGGATACATATGCTTGACGTGAGGGAATCAGGGCGGCGTGTCATCTGCTATGATAAATGTAAGAAAACAAAACATCGCAAGCGTTCGCTGTGCTTTCAGTCACACCTCCTATGCTGAGTTACCCGAAACACGTGAGGACTGCAAACGGGCAGAAATGCAGAGGTTCCCCACTGTGGACCTGGCTGCAGCGTTTCTGGCTCCCACCAGACTTGAGGGGCCTCCGGGACTAGGGGAGCCTGGGGCTGGGCCTTCCACATGTGCCGAGTTCCTACTTAGCCTGGGCTCCAAGGACCAGGCCTTGCTGAGTTTGTCCTCCGACCCCCACCTCACTGCCCACACCAGTGCCCAGGACTCTAGGAGGCTGCAACTCCTCACCCTCCACTCCTGGAGTATGGGACCTAGTAGTGCATTGCCCATGAGGCTTTTGAGGTTCTTCACCCTGTCCTCGGAGGGCACAACCCTGGGTTCTCATTCCCTGGGCACATTTCTGTCTCCTTTCCTGTGCCCACAGAGTATTTCCTCCCATTGCCCTGACTTGGCACGAGCAGGAAGTGGGTCTGTGTTTTCCCTCCTCCAGGAGAAAACCTGCTCTTCCCAGTATCCTGTCTCCTGGCAGAGTTGGGAAGAAGAGAGCAAGCAAGCACCTGGGCTCATCCTCTCCCGTGAAAGAGCCTGGGGTCGGCGTTCTTGCGGGATGTGGGAGCAGCACCGAGATGTCTGCCATATGTAAGGGGTCTGGCGTGGAGGGCTCCTCAGACATCAGTTGCCAGTGACTTCAGTGCTCTTTTCTTTGCAACAGAAGAAAAATCACCCAGGAGGGAAGAGTCTGATGAGGAGGAGATGCCGTCCAGGACAGAGAGGACACCGAGCAGCCAGCCTCCGAGGATGCCTGTGTTTCCAGGCATGGACCCAGCAGTCCTGAAGGTATCAGAGCCACCATGTGGGTGGGTGTGATCCTCCCTCTCTCTCCTCCTTTTGCCCCCTTCCCTCCCTATCCATCGTGCATCAATCCATCATTATTTAACCCTCCCTCCCTCATTTTTGAAATGAAGACCCAGAGGAAATTGCAGCAATAGTACAGAGATTTCTTGTGTACCTTGGACTCCACTTCCCCCAGTGATTGTATCTGTTGTGACCATAGCATGTTTTCACAACCAGGAAAGTGGCCTCTGGTTATTAACAATGCTGGTAAGTTATTTGGATTTCACCGGTGGCGCATTGTTTCATCTCCATTTTCATTCTTTCTGCAGCCCCAAACATGCTGCTGTGTTTGGCCTCGTAGCTAAACCTCCATTTCCTCATCTGTAAAAGGGGTAAATGATTCATTTGGATACCAGGCCCAACTGGCCATCTGGGAAACAGGGGTGAACAGTGTAATCTCCTGAGACCCCTGAGGAATGAATCGAGTTCATGAGGGAGGGCAGGCAGGGGTGTGGTCCCTGCTGTGCTGGGTGACTAGAGTCGAAAACACTGGTCCTGTGTGACACCCTTGAGTTCCACCCGGATCCTAGCTGGACTGTAGGGTCCTGAGGAAGGACCAGGCTGCCTCCCTCCCTGACCCAGCCCCCCCAGCACCTCAAGTCCTCCTAGGATGAAATGGTGCTTAACTAGGCTGTGATGGGGCCTGGCCCATCCGTGGTTCTGCGAAAGGCTGTTCTTTTCTCCTTTTTTGGGGGACGGGGTACTGGGGATCAAACTCAGAACCTTGTGCTTTTGCGGCATGTGGCAGAACCGCTGAGCTCTTTTCTCCTGTTCTATTGATGAGGAAATCAGAGCAAGCCCTCTGGAGTGTTAGGAGGGTGTCCCCAGTCTGCACATTCCATGCAGGCCACAGAAACCTCCCAATAGTGGGCCATGAGCAGGTTGCTCCTCTGGTAGATGGAAGTTTTGCCTTCCATGTCTTCTCTTACAAGGATACAAAGTCGGCTTTTGCCTCTGTACCTGATTTTACATGTCCTCAGGACACGCATGTCTTTCAGGCCAGTGGTGTGATGGCTGTATTTTTGCAAAGCATTGGAACAAGTTGTTTTATAAGGTGGCCTACCAGAGGCACAGGACAGGCTCTGGGTACAGGAGAGCAGAGGCCCTGTTTCACATGGCTGTCCCCAGGAATTCCTGAGATGGGCAGACCCCTGGATTCCTGGGCATGGCTGGAGGCTGTCACACTTGGGCAAGTGAACTCCAGGGAGTGCTCACCCATAGCTCGGCTCCTGGAGCTGCTGGCTGCCTCTGGAGGCCTGGGCTTGTGCCTCCACCACCAGATGAAGACTGATGAGACTCACTCTCTCTCTCTCTCTCTCTCTCTCTATGAAGACTGATGAGACTCTCTCTCTCTCTCTCTCTCTCTCTCTCTCTCTCTCTCTCTCTCTGTGTGTGTGCTGTGGGCAGTACCCTGTGGTTAACATCCTCATGTGAATACCAGTTAGTGGAAACCCTTGTGTGACTGGTGAGCTTCAGGCCTTTGCTCTGTGACATGGGATAGCAGCGTCCTGAGCTGACCTGTGTGTGGCTTAGGCCTGGTGGAGCCCACATGGTCAAATGTCCAGCACCCAGGAGCCCGTGAGGGTCACGGCAACTGTTGTTGGGAATTAATACCCACCAGTGGCCTGGGGGCTTGCTCAGCTAGTCCAAGCAAGTGGGTTTGAAACCTGCCAAGTTCTTGAGGTTTTTAAAGACCCTCTTCATGTACGTTTCCTCGCCAGAGTTTTGTGAAGCATCATGGGAAGGTGGGATGGTAGAATGCCGGGGCAGTATGGCCCAGGGTGTTGCGGGCCCTGTGTTGAGTGAGTCCTTCCCCAGATATGAGACCCTTAAGTCCTGGCTCTCTTTTCTTCCCAGGTTCAGCTGCTCAAGAGGCCAGAGGTGGACAGTCCTGATGAGACCCCAGGCCGGGGCCCCCAGCCCAAGACCCCCAAGTCCCTGTTCCAGCCTGGGGTGCTGGGAAGTCGAGTGCTTCCTTCCAGTGTGGAAAAGGATGAGAGGTGAGGGGTGTAGGGACAGATGCAGGTATCGTGGAGTGCCGACAAGAAGTGCGTCTCTTCTGATTTTCCTCCAACATCTGCAATGGGGTCCTGGGGCCTCTCCATGTCCTGAAAGATAAACTCTATACCAGGATCATGTCTCCTCCTCCCTCTGTGCCTCACAGAAACCCAGGGTACTCCTGAGCTGGGGCAGACACCTGAGGAAACTGAGGCTTTCTTCTTCTTGTCCTCACGGGGAGCACTTTTGTGTCAGGAGACTCAGGGAGACCTGGGAAGGACAATTCAAGGGCACAGCTGTCCTGTTCCTGGGATCAGCCTGCTTGATGCAGAGACGACCGCAGTGCAGCCTCTGCCCTGTGGGGTCCTCAGCTGGGGACAGAGGTCATGGGCACAGGCTCTAAACTTACAGAGCCCAGGTTGGAGTCCAGCTGTGCAAAGTCACTAAGTTTCCCTGTCTGCAGAATGGGTTTTCTAAGTGTCATGACCTTCCAGGTAGCTGTGAGGGTGAAGCTTGCAGTGCCTACGGGTCCGGTGTGGAGACCTGCTCAATAAAATGTGGAGCTCTTACATTGACTACTGTCAGCTCATAAAATTAGGAGTTATTTCTGATGCTAAGGTTGCGATGTAAGTGCCAAGGTAGCTTTACTGGCACACTGCCATGCCCACTCACATCATTGTTGTCTGTGGCTGCTTCTGCAGGATAACTGCAGGGGCATCCTTAGCCCACAGTCAGAAATAGTTACTGTTTGGTCCTTCTTCTGTCCCCACGATGGAGGAGGGGCTTGTCATGTCCTACAAGCTAATGGAGGTTCTTTTGCCGAGTCCGGATGGCGAGACAGGTGTCAGCTAGGCCAGGAGCAGTGAGAGGGGATGTGGAGCAGGGGCCACAGAGCACAGAGACCCGGGAGCTGGTGTTCCGGGAGCTGCAGATGGTGTGTGTTACTGCAGCACAGAGTGGACTTCGGAAAGCAGAAGGACAAGGTCCGACAGACAGGGACGGCTGCCATGTACCCGCTGTCTTACGGACACCAGAAGTGCAGGGAGGCTCTGCATGTCCCTGTGGCTGGAGGAGTCCCCTGGCTTGGGACTCAGGCACCTCTGGAAGCCTGGGTTTCTGCCTCCACCATCAGAAAAGATGTGGCTACTCTGGGGTACCCACAGTCTGGTCTGCCCAGGGACTCTCCTTCCTCATTCCCAGATGGGTAGGTAGAACAGCTCCTGATACCCCCAAATCACCCTTTCCCTGAGCTGCCCCTAGCCAGCTCAGCAATTTCTTGAGCTCTCCAGGGCTGGGGTCCAGAAGCTTCTTCTGAGATCAGAAAATACGTTAGGTGTGTGTGTGTGGTGTGTGTATATTAGGGGATGGTTTTAAAGAATTGGCTCATGTGGTTGTAGAGGCTACTGGCAAGTCCAAAATCTACGGAGGAGCCAGGCATGGTGGCACATGTCTGTAAAGCTACCTCCCAGGAGGCTGAGGCAGGACAATTGCCATCAGTTTGAGGCCAGCCTGGGCTACAGTGAGTAGAAGCTTCTTCTGAGATCAGAAAATACGTTAGGTGTGTGTGTGTGGTGTGTGTATATTAGGGGATGGTTTTAAAGAATTGGCTCATGTGGTTGTAGAGGCTACTGGCAAGTCCAAAATCTACGGAGGAGCCAGGCATGGTGGCACATGTCTGTAAAGCTACCTCCCAGGAGGCTGAGGCAGGACAATTGCCATCAGTTTGAGGCCAGCCTGGGCTACAGTGAGTTTGAGGCCAGCCTGAACTATAGAGTGAGACTTTGTCTCATTAAAAAAAAAAAAAAAAGAAAAGAAATCTACAGAGGAAGCTAGCAGGCTGGAGACCAAAGATTCCAGTCCAGTCTTCTTTCCAGGAAGTCAGTCTTAATTAATGCCTTCAGCTGATTGGCTGAGGCCCACCAAATATGGAGGTTAACTGCTTTGCTCAGAGTCTACTGGTTTAAATGTTAATTTCATCCAAAGAAAGAACCCTTCACGGAAACAGCTAGAATGATGTCTGAGCAAATATCTGGGTACTGTGGTCTGGTCATGGTGACGTACAAAATTAAGGGATTTTTGTACATGGATAGAGAGATGGATGGCTGGATGGATGATTGATAAATGGATGTATGAAATAATTTTATATAGGATAAGCTTTTGTAGATTACTTCACAGAATGGCTGTACCAGGACTTATTTATCTCTGCCCATTGATGGACACTTTGATACATTTCTGCTTCTTACTTATTGATCGTGTTAACCTGACTTCTTTCCACTGTGAGTGCTTGGCCAACCCTGCCTTGGCACGGTGGATGGAGTCAGGTACCACGTAGCTCTGCCCACACTGACTCCCTGGCCTTGTGGTTTCAGGTCAGAAGAGCCTTCTCCCCAGTGGCTAAGGGAGCTGAAATCCAAGAAGAGGCAAAGCCTGTATGAGAATCATGCCTGACAGGTAGAAAGGGACCCACGGTCCTGGGAGCAGAGCTCAGGTGGGGGCAGAGGTGTGGAGTTGGGATGTGGTGCCGCAGAGAGAGCAGGCCAATCAGAGGGATCACGGTGGGCAGAGTTGTGTTGGGGGGCAGTGGGGACCCATTCCCATGCGGATGGAGCTGAGTGGGGCAGCCTGGGGTGGATGAAAAGGGCCTGGGCAGAGGGCTTTGATCTTGTGCACTTGGCCAGCCCTCCCTGTTGCCTCTGAGACCGCTTTTATAAAATGGAAGGGAGGGACATCAATGATTAGCTTAATCTGAACTGTTTGTAATTTCTATATGGGGAATATGTTCATGTACAAACTAATTATATTTAATTGAAAAATACATACAATCATCCCTTAGTATCCACAGGGGAGTGATTCCAGAAAGACATCCAAATCCAGGGATGCTCAACTCCCTTATATAACATGGTGTAGTCTTTGTGTAAAACCTACATATATCCTCCCAGGTACTTGAAATCACTGCTAGGGTAATTATAATAACCCGTACAAAGTAAATGCTGTGGAAACTGTGATTGTATTGTGTTATTTAGAGAACAGTAACAAGACAGCAAGCCTATACATTCATTACACGTGTACTCCCCCCCCCAAATATTTTCAATGTGGAGTTAGTCGAGTCTGCAGATGGGAAAGACACAGACAGGGCAGGCTGCCCTTATTTAAAAAAAGCAAATGACTGTTTATACCCCGGTGTGGATTCAGATGACTTGACGTTGTGAACCTCAGTTTCCATGCAGTGCCCACATCACTGAGGGGTCCCCAGGGCTCCCTGAGAACACACCCAGAAGTACCTGGCTGTCCACCCTTGGTTTAGGAGTGCGTGGTAACAAGGCAAAATTGGCCTCAATTTGATTCGCAGAAGTGACCCACATTCCTGAAGTCCCAAATGCTCTGAAAACAATACTTTTTAGATTGCTCGTGAGTGGCAAATCTGCCACGAATGGAGACAAGGCTGTAGATGTTGTTACAGCACTTTACATATAATGTGGTGTGATCGGAAAATATGGTGAAGGTTAAAACTTAAAAAGAAAATTTATTTCAGCAGAAGACCGCGCCCCTCAAATACTCTGTTTCACTTCCAGCACTTATCCCATCGGGCGTGGCACTTTCTAAAACACTTCTAGAAGTTCTCTTTCATGAGTGTCTTCAGTTGCACCATTGTGGCTGCCTTAGAGCCCTGGATCGATTAAACACGTTCACCTTTCATGATCCTCTTGAGTTTGGGAGAAGAAGCCAGAAGTCATTGTGCCAAAGCCAGTGAACGGTAGTGGATGAGGTGGACGAGGACACGCTGGAATGTTTCTAGGAGCCCGCCTTTCTGTGGCAAGGCCTTTCTCAGCGATGGCACTCACTGTTCTTTTCTGTTTTGTTTTTTGAATCACACCTCATGACGACACTTGTGGAAGGAGACGTTCAGAACTGCGTCACAAAGTGGCAGGAAGGATGGGATGAGCGTGCGGGAGCCCGGGGGAGTACTTCGAGAGGGAGGCGCGGCAGTGTGTCTTCTTCTGTAATCACTTTAAAATTGAAGCACTCTATACTTTGATGACTTCTGGCATTCATTTATTTGTTTATCTATCTATCATCTATCTATTTGTGCTGTGCAAGGGCTGAGACTCCAGGCCTGGCCCGTTAGGCAGGTGCTGTACCACTGAGCTACACCCCCAGCCTCATTGGTCCAGCTGGATAAATACTCAGGGCATAGTACGTGCCTCATTGTGGCAGTGCTGCATGATATAATGTACATGTGTGTGTGCACAGGTATGTTTGAGCGTGTGTGTGTATGTTCATCTCAGAAAGGCTTAAAAATTTCCCAGTAAATCCGTGTTCGAGGAGTTTGACGAAGGGATCAGGACCTGAATTTACTTGTGTTTAGTATGGCACGTGTGCTCTCTCCTGGAGGCTTCCAGCAATCCCTTCGTTTTAGTTTAATTTCAGTTTTAATTAGCACATGGTAATGGCACATAAAAATGGGACGCAGCGCAATGTCTCAGTGCACTGATGAGCTGTGTAATGATCAAGTCAAGAGAAGTGGCAAATCCGCCCCTCAAACATGGATCACTTTGTGCTGAGAGCGCCCCATACCCTCTCTAACACTTATTTTGAAATACATTATTATCAGCAATCTGCTGGAGGAGGCTGAGGCTCAGAACCGGCCCTAAATGTCCAGTTTATCCCACTGGAGCAGACTGCCCACCGCCCTCCTCCTTCCACCCCTTCCCTACCTGCGCAGAGCTCTTTCTGGCTGAGGTTATGAGGCTGCTTCCCTGGGGACTACCAGAAATGGTTATTCATTTATTTAGTTTTTGGGGAAGGAAGCCAGGATCTCGCTTATGCTAGGTGTGTACTCTGCCAGTGGGCGACACCCCTGGTCCCCAGAAAGGTTGGAAGGCCTAGTGAGGGAGGCAGACAGGGCCAAACATCCCTACTGCTGACACCAGCACTGTCCTTTCCTCTCCAGGCAAGGGCAGCAACACAACAATTAACAGAAGCCTTAACCATCAGACCGTCCTGAGCCACAGAGGGGCCAAGCTGCTGCCCACCCTCCCGTACTGCGCTCATGTGCCTGGGTCCTCTCAGGGTTGGAGGCCATGCTCCAGAGTCCTCATCCCACAGGAAGGCCTCCCCTCCATGAGGACCTGTTCGGCTCCAAGACACCACTCTGGCTGGGAAAGAAACCAGGCTGCCCATGAATGACCCTGCGGAGAGTTTCGTTTAACATCAGAGTTTGTGTTTCTACCCTCTTTCACCACCTTCTGCACCTCCAGGGACATCAGTGCAAGCCTGGGTTCTCTGCCTCAGTTCTGAAAAACACTTGAATTGGAAGATCGACTCTTGACTTTCATGAGGAAAGGATATTTTCAAGAAAGTTCAAACCATTCACTTGTTGCTGTTATTTTGGTCCAAGGCATTACCAATGGGGTTGGGAGTTTTGATTGCTTTGACGGATTCCTTTTTCTTCATGATGAATCAGCTTTTCCAATTTTTAAACATACCCTTCCTGATTCTATTAAGTATATTTCTCCTTCTAGTTGGGCTGTGTGCATAGCTGACCTCTTTTTTGTTTGCTTTAGAAGGTGATGAAGCAATAACTTAGCCAATTTTCTTTGAAACTGATATGTACATATGTTTTTAAATTAAAGGACAGGAGGACAGGTGTGTGAATAGTACTCTTGATGTATCCAACCTCAGGTCACCTTATCTCTATCCAAGCTTTTTACAACTTATAACTGTCACCCTGTATATAGTCTCCCCCTTTATTTCCCAGTTGATCTCTGATTTCTGTGGGGTGGCCTTTGTTCCTTGGCCTCAAGGGGTCATAGGTGCAGCTCAAATGGCAGTACCTTTGTCAAACACCAGATCTGCCCCAGCTATTTTCTTCTCCAATTTCCCTTAAACAAACAAAGACTGGGGTTGCTGTAGAAGAGCAGCCTTTCTAAGTCAGCCTCAGAACAAACGCTTGAGTTAGGGGTACTTTTTGTTTTAGGTTTTCCATCACCTTGACCCGCCTCCCCGGATTCACCTCACTGCAATTTTTTTTAAGGGGGGTGGTTTCAAATGGCAGTATTACTCAGAACTCTTCATCAGAGGGGGAACTAGGCCAAGGAATTCCCGGGAGTGCTGGACGCTCAGTGACAGTGTAAGACTCACCCTGCCTCTTTCTTTTTGAATCTCCAGGCCTCTGGGGATTCCTTCTCTTCTGTCCTTTTTTCTGGAAATTCTCAACCTCATCCCTCTCCACTCCCAAAGCTCCAGGCACCAGTAAACATTCCAAATGTGCCTGGCTGGCTACCTGCCATCCTAGAATTGCCATAAACCTTGTGCCAACTTTGCCAGAGAGCCACCCAGTGGTGAGACACATGGGCGGTTCACAGGGCAGCCCATGATTGCAGGGGCCCCTGGGGCTGAATGTCCCAATGGATCTGTGCATAGCACCAGCTACATAGTGAAGTGGGCTCCTGCGAGGTGGGAAGTATTTCATGATAAATCTGTTATTTGCAAATGGTGTCAGAACTTTCCTTTCTTCTCCCTGGCCACCTCCCAGAGCCTTCCTGTCTCTTCCCATCTTCTCTCCCTCCCTGTTTTTACTGTCTCTTTTCTCTCTTGGGTGTGGGACTGGTGTTGGAGATTTCTCTAGGTTCCGACAGCTGCCTGTGCACTGCTGAGGGGTGTCAGGTCACCAGAGAAATGCTGGTGGAAGTAAGACCTCACTGTATTGGGGGCCTTGTGGGCTTGGAGTGAAACTGATCTTACCATCTTGGATTGTCTGGGATTTATATAACTCCAGACAAGTCTGTCTTCTGCAGCCTCCCTAGAGTTGAGGCTAACTTTAGGAAAGTTCTGAGGAACATGAACAGAAATAGGCAGTGGCCTGAGTTCCTGAGCCTGAGAGGCTGAGAAAAGATTTGGGAAAATCTGAGCATGATTTTCCTAAAGGAAACCAGCTGCTCCCATCTGGGATTGATAGCCAGCTCATCAATCCGTGGCTTTATAGTTTGTTTTTCATCCCGATGCATCCAGATTGGCCCCTGGAATGAGGCACGACTGCAGAGTTAAAGCCTCCACACCCTAATTGGGAGGTTTAATCTATGGCAGTCTCTAAAGTGACAGAGGGTTTCTGTAGCCTGGGAGCGTGGGAACCCAGAGGCCATGGTCCCATAGCACCATGATTCTGTGGGGTGAAGGGTAGTGTTGGGATAGAGAAAGCCACTCAAGCAGAGGGGAATCACCTTGGGCTGAGTCCCATGGTGAGTAAATAGGGGACCCTGCCTCTGTGCCGAGAAGCCACCCCCATGGAATCTGAGGAGGCCAAGGCTCTGGAAGACTTAAGTCCATGCCAGCAGGATGAGCACCCTGGGCCATCACCAGTCTGGGTCTCTTTCAGTCCCAATTGCTCTCTGGATTTTTCCTTCTTTTGCCTGGTTGGCTCCTGCAGGAAGAGAGACAAAGCTAACTCTCTGCTCTGGAAAACCAGCCCAAAGTTTCTGGCAAGTGAATCCTTGAAATTCTCACCTCCCAGCCTGTCTTCTTCGCCCTATCACAACACCCTTAAACAGTTGCCCTTCACCTGGGCCATGGCACCGCCTAATGTGACTTGGACTAGCTGTTCCGTGACAATCCCTGGTGGCATCACACCAGCTATAAATCATGCTAAAATCTAACGAAAAATTCGAGCCTTTAAATGATGACCTCATTCCACATTGCCTTATGGATCCTGTAAGTATGGAGCTCACAAGAGTAACTGCAGTGTGGAAGGTGTTTTATACTGTGTCATTTCCTAAGTCACACAGGTGTCCTAGAAGTCACATGCTTCCCAGATGGTTATGATTCCCGTGTGTTTTGCAAGATGGAGTGGGAGGGCAGAACTACGGTATACAGAAATACAGGCTATATTTTCCTAACTGTTCTTTTGGGCTAATCCTCAGATTTTTGAGTTATGAGAGGACAAGAACTCAAATTGTGTGGCGGGGGAAAAACTAAGCTTCCTCTCTGTGGTGGTCTTGCAGTTGCCTTATGAATTCACAAGCTCCAGGACTTCTGAATGGAAGGCAAATGAGAGGCACTTTATCCATTCCTGGAAAGATTCTAACCACGTGACTGATAATTCATCTAGAAAAACCTATATTTTTAATGTAAAAATAAAAAGAGGGGGAAAGGTTTTCTGGACCTCACAGAGAATTGGGTGTCTACAAGTGCTTTTATATTTTGTAACTGTAAAGTGTCGTCGTATCACAGAAGAGCAGTTGGAAACTGGTCCACTGCAGTGAAATGAGAGGACCTTCGCATGTACGGAGACGTTGCATTCAGACTCTGAAAACAGCAAATAAAGCTTTGATGTAAGTTGCATTGGAGAAGCCGGCTTATCCTTGTGAATGAATCATGGCTCCCGGGCAGGGGGGCCGGTGCCCCTTGCTTGCCGCCGAGTCAATCCCTCCCCTGTGCTGAGCTGTGGGCCCACAGCGGTGGGAGTTGGGGTCTCTGGGCTGGGTGTTGTCCATGGTGGGAGAAATGGCAGGCTCAGAACAAGGGCACAAATGCTCTCTGTCACCTCCTGGCTGGGGGCATCTCTGAGCTTCAGTTCTCCTTTGCTCTACAACAGGGTAGGGTTGGAGGTTGAGTGCAGCATTTGTGGGCCAGGATTCAGGGCAGGGGTTCTCAGCCTGGTGGATTGTGCCTTGTGAGGGCATCACAGGGGAGCAGACACTCCAGGCGTCTGAGGAGGAGAGGCCAAGGGATGCTGCTGAATGACCTTGCCCACCTTCCACAAAGACGAACCTTGCTCTTGATGCCAGCAGTGCTGAAGTCAAGAACTCTCAGTTTACCAAATTGGGTCACACGGAAGTCCTGAGCACATCCAAGTCCTTGGGACCCAAAAGGTCCCAGTGGGAGGGAGCCACTCTGTCCTCACCCCTGCCTTCCTCCCCATGTGCTTGGCTGGTGGTGACTCCATCCCAAGTTACAGGGTGGAAACCAGCCCGGTTATGGGTGACTGATCTCTCACTGTCTCTGGCAGGTAGAAGGACTGGACAGAGTAGTTGTGCGAACTTCAGTAGCTGAACTGGGGTTATGGGGGTGTCGCCCAACTGCAGAGTGCAGTGTCACCCACTGCACCCCCCAGGGGTCTGCATGACCTGAAGCTTTTTACCCACAATGAATAATGAGAAACTGTTAATTTCAATTTACTGCTTTGCTCCTTCATCCTTTTTTTCATTCTGTAGCCATTAATTAAATACCTATCACAGATAAAACTATACCTTTATCAGATACTCAAAATGCCTAGACTTAGTATTTGCTTACTGGTCATAAATAAGGTGACTATTATTATCACCTTATTGCTATTGAGGCTGAAAGCCAGGCCTGGGACTTGCCAAATGATCCTGGCTACGTGACTCCACATCTCTGAATGCAGCTCCTCCTTAAAAAGAAGATTACAATTCCTCCCTTAAAGGTGGCTGAGTGAAGATTAAACATAATGCTTAAAGGCTGGTACAGAGCCTTGCATGGCGCCAGTCTTCTGAAGGAGTTGCATCTATTTGAAGGAGTTGCATTTCCCAGATCTGTTCTCAGAGATTGGACTGGAAATTTAGGCCCTTTGGCATGTGCCAACTGGTAGGATTCTGGGATCCCTCATGCTAAGAACTGCAGCCTTTGCCAGGGTACCATGTACCCCAACAGGAAGAGTATGGCACCAAGAGGCTAGAGAAAGGGGGCTGAAGGAAACTGGAAAGTTCTATGCCCCTGTCCTGTGCAGTGCTGCTGTCTCCCATGGAGCAGTGAGGGCCATCTGCCTGTGACGTCATCAGAGGCCACGCTGAGAAGACAGGCCAGGGGGACCTCAGGAAGCTGCGATTGGAGTGAAGTGGCCCGGACACAAGCAGGGGGACGAGCGCTGCCTCAGCAGGCCGGGATGTGCAGGGCTGTCAGAACAGGCCCGTATAAAATCCACAGTGACCAGGAGAGGACTTGCTGACGTCTGGCTCTTCTGTCTGTCCTGTCCGAGGCTGCAGCACAGGTTCTTTGAGATGGGCGTGGTGGGGTGGGGAGGCAGGGCCATCCTGACCAGAGGAGCTTGGGGACCTCTTAGATGTACGAGGCTGGACCCCTGCTGATGCTGGGGATCCTTGAGGGTGGGGCTAAATGACTGGACACAAGTCTGTCACCAGACTCAGCTCAGGGTGGGGACCTGCGCTGTCTATGTACTAAAAGGTGTTCATCGGGGTTGGAGCCTCCAGGTCAAGCAGCTCTGAGGAGAGAAGAGGGTAAAAACTCAAGACCTGCATGGTTCCTGACAGTACTCACCAGTGGGACTAGGGCTGTTTCTGGCTGAAGCTGGCCATGCCAGGCCAGTAGCTGGAGCCGTACACACCATAGCCTTATGTGCACAGCAAATGGGCCGCACGGCCATGTGGGCTAGGTGTACAGGAAGCCAGGGCAGGAGACAGTGGTATGGGAGCATGGAGTGGGACAGAAGTGTGTCCATGTGGGCAATTTTCAGAAGAGTCCTTCCACCTGATATCTGCAGGGGCCTGGGCTGCACATTGCTGTGCCCATAGCAACGAAGGGATCTGTGCGTCTGAATCTGTGTCTTGAAGTGGCTGGTACACAGTAAGTGCTCAATAAGTGTTCCTAGCATGAATGGCTGACAGCATAGACACTGACCAGAAGTGGGTCTCTCGCACGTGCTTTCTTTGGCTGCGATCTGCCTGTTCCATCCCATTGCCAGTGGCCTGCCATTCACTCTGGTCACCTGGCCCCACACCTGGCACAGAGTTGTTGCAGATGGAGGTGCCCAGTGAACAAAGATGGTCCTGCCTGGAGTGTGGAGGTGGCAGGGGTGCTTGGGAAGAAACCCCCAGGGCCAGACTCTGGCCTGGGCCCAGGGGTGGCACATCTGCAGAAGGCAGATGTTTTGAGGGGGAGCAGTGGGGCATAGGGAATGGGGCATGGGCTTGAGCCAGCCCCATTTGGGGCCTCTTCCTCACTGTGTGCCTTGAGAAGTGGTTTTACTTTGCTGGGCCTCAGTTCCTTCTGCAAAACGGGGCTCCTGATCCCCTTGACTGTCGTGGTCTACATGATCCACGGTAGGTGCTCAGTGGGCATTTGTTGAATGACTGAATGATGCGTGTACTCATGAATCATGATCACATCCCATAGCCAGTAAGCTTCTACGAACATCAACACCTGGATCTTCCCAGTGGACCTGGGGACCCATTCTTTGCTTTGAAGGCAGCGTGTTCCTGAGAGATGGCAGAACAGCACAGAGCACCAGAGCAGTCTGCAGCTGGCAAGAGCCACGGAGGCCTTGGGGGTGGCTACAAGGTGCTGTCAGAGTGGGTATGTTGGACTCAGAGGCTCCTCCCCACCAGGCAGCTTCTCTCCAAAGTGAGCAGCCGCCTTTCCCACCATGGCTGGGAGAAACTCCCCGTCCAGCTGCCAAGCTTCTGCTTCACTGCTTCCCTGCACCCTCCCTCTGTCCTGTCTATGAGAGAGAACCCGTCTCACGCATCCAGCCTGTCTGAAAGGGCCAGAGGAAGGAGGGTGTCAGGAGATGCAGCTTCTCCCTCCATCCTGCCTGGCCTAGGCCCAGGTCTTGCCCTGGCCCCAGATGCCGTGGGAGTGCTCACCAGGATGCCATGCAGAGGGGTGGTAGGCAGGGGAGGCACCCAGCCACTGGAGGGGAGTTTGAGTTGGCTGCCTCTAGGCGCCTTTGGAGGAGCCCCAAGGAGAAAATGGGGCAGGGCTTTGTTCCTTGTGGTACTGGGGTACTAAACCTAGAGCCTTCATGCATGACTAATCCCCAGCTGCCTCACCAATTTTTTTTTTTTTTTTTTTTTT